AATATGTAAGGTTCTTTTTTTATGCGACTGTTGAAATCGGCACATTTAGCACGTCTCGAGCTATGGCCGAAAGAACATGAAATTGATTAANTCAGAAATACAAGTGTCAATATCAGGAGTTTCAGTTGGTCCAATATCCATATAAGAATATAAAATAGTGATTAATTGGCGACAAGTGATCATCTTGATACAAGGGTTTAAAATAACACCAATTAGGTAAATAGGGGGAATTGAGTAGAAATATTTTTTAAACTTATCTAGCATAGATTCAACAACATAAGTATATCCTTCTTTATTCTTCAAATTATGTACTAAAAGGAAAATTTCAGCAATATGAACTAAACCGTTTACAATAGTAGGATAATTTGCAATATTTGAATTTGACCGTTGGCAAAGGTCCAAAAAAAAAAAACCATTAAAAAACGGGCTGAACCGAGCTGTAGCGCGTTAAAAACCTGTTAACGGGTTAACGGACTTAGCGGGTTCCGATGAACCGGTATCAAAAAACTGTTTATTTGAAACCCGTTCCCGTCCAACCCGACCCACCACGCCCCACGCTACAGTATCGGACTGACCGGGTTCAAAGAGTTGTAAACGTCTCAGCCCGCCCGATCAACACTTATAGTTCAAACCCCCAAAACACCATCGTCCCACTCTCACTCAGAAAAAAGAGAAGAAAACTGCTTAGGAGTTCGGAGTTTGTAGTTACACACGGATCCAATAGAGATTAATGGCGCTCAATCTTCGTCAAAAACATACAGGTAACTGACCTAAATTTTTTCATCAATTTCAGAAATACGAAATGAACTTACTTGATTTTCAATTGATGTTTAATTGATCGATTAATTTCTGGAATTTTGTTCAGAATGCATTACACGGATGTTGAATCTGAACCAGCCGGTGAATGCCGGCGGCACAGCTAACGAGGAGGTTTACAAGATCCTCATTTACGATCGGTTTTGCCAGGACATACTATCGCCGCTGATTCACGTGAAGGATCTCCGTAAGCACGGCGTTACTCTCTATTTCCTCATTGACAAGGATCGGAAGCCTGTTCACGATGTTCCTGCTGTGTATTTCGTCCGACCTACTCACCTCAACGTCCAGCGTATCGTTTCCGACGCCTCTAATTCACTTTATGATTCGTTCCATTTGAATTTCTCCTCTTCCATTCCTAGACCCTTGCTCGAGGATCTCGCTTCAGGTTCCAATTCAATTTCGTCTCTATTTACTTTTTCTTAGCATTTATGTCACACACAACTCACAAGTGATATTGTCCATTTTGGATCTAGCCCTCCACAGTTTTAACACAGTGTTTAAGGCTTGCTTCTCTATATACCCAGCATATCTCCATGTTTTGCCCATGTAGGATTTGGGTAGGTGTACAATTTACCATTCTAGTTAATAGTTTATTTGGCCTAGGTTCATGAAAGCCAAAAATACTTATTTTAAAAAAATGTATTTTGGAGAGTTGAGGTGTTTGGTCAAGCTTTTAGGAGAAAAATAAGTGCTTTTGAGTAGTGGCAGAAACTATTTTTTAGAAGCTAAAAAAAAAGGAGAAGCACTTTTTGAAACCTTGGCCAAACACAAATTGTTGTTCTACATTGGCAAAGATGCTACTTTTTCGAAAAGCACTTCTGACAAAATGACTTTTTAAATAAACAGATTTGGGAAGCTTGCCCAAACAGACTGTAAAGCCCATGTTTTATCCGACGAATTTTTGGGATTTTTTTTGGAGAGACGTTGGGTGTAAGACTTTAAATCATGCAACTTGCTGAATAATGAGACATGTTTTTGGTTTAGGGATGATTAATTCAGAGTCGATTGAGAGGATTGTGAAAGTGCATGATCAGTACTTGGAGTTTATCACGCTTGATGATAATTTGTTCTCCCTTGCCAACAAGAACTGTTATGTTCAGTTAAATGATCCCTCAGCTGGGGATAACGAAATTGATGAGATCATTGAAAATATTGTGAGTGGGTTGTTTTGTGTGTTGGCTACTCTTGCTGTTGTCCCTGTCATCAGGTGTCCTCGTGGTGGGCCTGCTGAGATGGTGGCATCCCTGTTGGATCAGAGACTGCGGGACCATTTGCTGGCGAAGAACAATTTGTTTTCAGAGGGTGGGAATTTGACTAGCTCATTTCAGAGGCCAGTTTTGTGTTTATTTGATCGGAACTTTGAATTGGCAGTGGCAATACAGCATGATTTTAGGTATAGGCCACTTGTTCATGATGTGCTTGGGTTGAGATTGAACAGATTAAGCGTGCCAGGAGACAAGGGTGGGATGAAATCCTATGAGTTAGATAGGTCTGATCCATTTTGGATGGCCAACGGGTCATTGGAATTTCCAGAGGTTGCAGTGGAGATAGAGTCTCAATTGAATAAATACAAGAAGGATGTTGAGGAGGTAAATCAACGAACAGGTGGGAGTGGAGGGGCCGAGTTTGATGGAACAGATTTGGTAGGTAATACTAAACATTTGATGAATGCTGTAAATTCCCTACCTGAGTTGACTGAGCGAAAGCAAGTGATTGATAAGCACACAAATATTGCTACTTCATTATTGAGCGAGATCAAGGAGAGATCCCTCGATTCATATGCTAAAACAGAGAGGGATATGCTGGTGAGAGGTGGCATTGATCGTAATGAGCTCCTTGGAGTGCTGAAGGGAAAAGGGAGTAAGGCGGATAAGCTGCGATTCGCTATAATTTATCTTATCTCAACTGAAAGCATGCCTCAATCTGAAGTCGAAATGATTGAAGCAGCACTTAGGGAGTCCGAGGTTGATACCAGTGCTTTTCAGTATGTAAAGAAGATAAAATCATTGAATGTCTCTTTTGCATCAGCAAATTCTGCAAGTACGAGCAACATTGTTGATTGGGCTGAAAAACTCTACGGGCAGTCAATCAGTGCTGTAACTGCAGGTGTGAAGAATCTATTATCCAGTGATCATCAGTTGGCTTTGACGAGAGCAGTAGAATCGTTAATGGAGGGGAAACCAAATCCTGAAATTGAATCTTATCTTCTTCTTGATCCTCGTGCACCGAAGTCAAGCTCTGCATCTAGCAGCAGTCATCTAAAAGGACCATTTAAAGAAGCTATAGTCTTTATGATAGGTGGTGGAAATTACGTGGAGTATGGAAGCTTGCAAGAGCTTGCCAATCGCCAACAGCCGGTCAAGCATGTCATATACGGGGCAACAGAAATTCTTACAGGAGGTGAGTTCATTGAGCAGCTTGCAGTATTGGGGCAGAAGATGGGATTGGGAAGCAGTGGGGCTGCACCTCCCCATTGATGGGATGGATACAACTGATTAAGCAACTATTTGTTGTTCAGTATCACACTGCTCTTCACTTTGTTAAGCCACAGGTTCATGAGAAAAGCTTACATTGAGCCTAATAGTCTAGTTGAGCGAATGGAGAACTGAGCTGACTGTATTTTTGATAGCGCCAGACTTTGGCATTTGACTGTGGTGCATACTGGTCTTAAAAATATGATTTTTATTTCAATTTTTGAAGATGTGAGGGAGTTAAAGGAGTTTTTCTACATTCGATATACTTGGAACCAAAATCCGCATAACTTCCTATACCTTGTTTCTTTGTGTTTAACATGCTCTTCATTTCCTTTTTTGGGTGAGAGTTCAAGTATCCTTTGTCAGTCCAATTATTGAGATTATACTCATCATAAATAAATAACAAAACTTATTTTGAAAATGAGATAGATGCAATGCTATCTAAGATCAGTATACTTGGAAGAGCCGCATATGGCAAAATACGAACTTAAATGCAGTCTCTGGTTGTTATGCTCATTTGCTCCGCAACAACCTCAGCTGTGTTTATCCTTGATATAACATAATTCACAGATGCATACTTCTGTCATCTTTGGTTTACATTGATCCGAGTTGATAGACCTATAAAGTACAAACCAAGCTTGACCGTTAGGTTCAGGTTTGAGCTTGCTCAAGTAAGAGCTTTTCTATCATGGTTTGAACTTCAAATAGTCCTCATGCGACATTTATGTCTTTGGAAGAGATCATCTCAAAGTGCCATAAGATTTCATTGTTCTCTTTTCAAGTTTAATTTTTTCCCCCCCTCCTTTGTCTCATGTGTGCATACTTCTATTTTTTCACCTTGAAGGCATTGTAAGTTACCTTACTGTCAGAATTAATGTAAATGAAATAGCTGCGTGCCTCTGTATTGTTTCAGGGGGATGCTACGTATTTCCTTGCTATCAGTGACATGGTTTTAAAGGAATTTTTCATATGCTAATGCAAAGAATAATTAGGTAATGGACGAGTGAGTCTTTAACATATCACTTATGTGGTCTGGTTGCATATGATGTCCCTAGTTGTAATGTACCTAACTGAGAATTGAATAAGTCTTGTTGCATATGAGAACATCAAACAGCTCAACAAACGAATTTAGAGGACTGCTTCTGGAGATAGTGTTTGGCGCATTGTAGAAAATTCTTTATAGTTGATTTCTTCTTATCTACCTAAGCCTAGGCCGATAGAATAAACTCGACATCTGTGTTGGTGGGAGGTAATATCTGATGAAATATTCTATATATTCAAACACAGTATAAAAGAAAAGAAATCTATGTTGTTGTATTTATTATCCGAGAGCTAAACAAATTGAGTTGGCGAGGCTGAACAAAGGCTCACACCTTCAAGTAATTGGAAAGTGTGTAGGTTAAAATCAACTTGTATATTGGTATTCTTTGTACCCCGTGCATTAAAAGGTGTCAATATTTATCAAATTGTAGTAAATAAATAACTATAATACTATACTGCATTCAGTTCCTATTACTTATTTAACAATCTTAATCATTAAAATATTTGTCTAAACGACCTTTTGTCATTCTTTAAACGCCTCACTCAATTAATCCTCAATAATTAGAACAATAGATTTGAAAAAATTATAGTAATAAATAATTCTTACGTTACTTTTAAAAAAAAGAAAGTCAAATGGGTAGAATTTTTAAACGTTGGAAGGAGTAATAGAAATGAAATTGGACCCTTTTCCTCTTCCTTTCCTTTTTCCTCGCTCCCTTTTTCAATTTCATGACCTGTCTCTTCCTTTCCTGAAGAGCAGAGCATCATATAATTCGCACACCCTAATTTCCATGCCCCAAATTCAATAGTCAAACCACTCAACCCCATCGATCTATTTTCCGATCAATGGCCAAACGAACCCTACCTCTTCTCAGGCACCTCCTCAGCTCCCCATCCCATGGCTTTTCCCATTCATTAACGTCAACCCGATCCGTCACCTACATGCCCCGACCCGGTGATGGCACACCACGCGCCGTCACTCTCATCCCTGGTGACGGGATCGGGCCGCTCGTCACCGGCGCTGTCGAACAAGTCATGGACGCGATGCACGCTCCTGTGTACTTCGAGCGATACGACGTTCACGGCGACATGAAGAGTGTGCCTCCAGAGGTTATGGAATCGATCCGGAAGAATAAGGTCTGTTTAAAAGGAGGATTGAAGACTCCTGTGGGTGGTGGTGTTAGTTCCCTTAACGTTCAGCTTAGGAAGGAGCTTGATCTATATGCTTCCCTTGTTCACTGCTTCAACTTGCAAGGATTACCTACGCGTCATGAGAACGTGGATATTGTTGTCATCAGGGAAAATACTGAGGGTGAATATTCCGGCTTGGAACATGAGGTTGTTCCTGGTGTCGTTGAAAGCCTTAAGGTACTCTTCCATTAATGTTTGTTTGACTTCATTCCAAATGTGCATTCTATGTGTAGGATTGTTATTTTTGGGATAATATGCATGCAATGTCAAGTGAATAAATCTTTTTTATGCAATCGAAAAGGTTTTGGTGCTATCTTAATCAAGCAGGATTAAAATGACATCTAGAGCAAATGAAAATGACATGAGAATGGAGCAAGTAGAGGCTTGGATTCATTTAAGACCAAAAATAACCTAAATTTTGAAGGTTTCAACTGGACTTTAAAGGAGATTAATGGAACCGAATGACAGGTTTATAAGATTGCCTATCTTTATTTCCTGTAATCTTGTACGGAGTAGTTATCTTATTTAACACAACAATTGCAAACAAGTTAGGGAGATTGAAGTACCCTTGACTTTTGACAAGATTTAGACTTATCTAGCCCAAAGCTTATCCTTGTTGTGTGATAGCCAGAATCATTCTGGATTTAGATCAATTCTGCTTCTACAGGATTTTAAGACACAAAATCCCATTCGTAGTAGGATGTCAAATTTTATACCAGCTGAGTTTAGCCCCATACTTTCTAAGGTTTGTCCCTTCTTGTCTATATTTTCATTAATGTGGTGCTACGCTTTCCTGAGCTGAGGGTTTATTGGAAACAACCTCTCTATCCTCACAAGGTAGAGGTAAGGTCTACGTACACACTACCCTCCCCAGACCCCATGGTGTGGGATAATATTGGGTATGTTGTTGTTGTTGTTATTGTTGTTTGTTTTTTTATCAAAGATTTTTATCATACTGTTTATTACCCTCTTAGGTATACTTAAATGGAGGTCCATGCTTGAATTTTACCAATCATCTTATCAAGATCGTCCTAAACACGTTGGTGGAAAAGCCTAAAGACACCTTAATGGAGTACTGTTAGCAACACTTAATCTCTTCTGTTTCCAAATTTGTTCCATAGTACTTCTTGAAGTATTGAATAAAATCATAGCTTACTTGACAGACCCATGTTTAACACCTCCATTTTTTCTTTCCTTTTAAATCCATTCAGCAACAACATGACGCTCCTCAATTTTTAGTCATATTTTTCCTTTAGTTGAGTCTAATTGTGAGTGACTCATTTGTTTGTATTTAATCTCATGTGCTAGATAAAATAGGATTAAAGGAAATAATCAGAATATAAGAAAACAATTAGAAAAACCGGGAGATAAAAAAGGATTATCAAGAGAGAAACAGTGAAAGCATAAGTCAATAATCTCAAATATCTCTATATTAGTGTTTTAAGAGCGAGAAGCGCAAAAAAGCGACAAGGGCTCGCCTCGGTTCAAAAGCGAAGCGCAAAGCGAAGCGCACGCTTTATTAAAGTGAAGCGCAATTCTTAAAAAACATAATGTAAACCTTGCATAAGACACAATATAAAATTGTAAATAATCAAAAAGTTCAATTTAAAAATTTAAAAGTAGGTACTAGGTACCACCAAATCCTCCACAAACCATAGGACAAGCAAAATCAAAGCTACTAAATTACTAGAATCAACATATTCTCTACTCTTCTTGTTCTTCAAGATTGTCAAACTCTTGAATTTCTCTATTATCTTCATATTGCTCGTCATCTTATTCTTCCCCCTCCTCTTCCTCTTCATGATCACTTTCATCTTCATCAATTAGGGATAAGGATCGACTTGTAGTAGCCACACTTTTTTCCTTCCTAATCGAGCTTGAACTTGAAGTATTCCCCCTTAAACCATAAGGATTCTCCCCAACTCCACTAGCAACCGCAACATCACCCCAAGTGAAATTAGAATCGCCTTCAAATACTTCTTCATCTTCACAATTTTCGGGGACTCCGGTTAGCCACTCATTAGCCTCATCAATATTGTCCAAAAGAATTGGATCAATTAGATTGCGGTGGTTGTAGCGACGCCTCAATGCTCTATTGTATTTTATGAACACTAGATTATGGAGGTACTTCAAGGTTAGTCGATTCCTCTTCTTTGTATGAATCTGCAAACAAGATATGTTAACTAATTAGTAGGAGTTGGGACAATTGAGATATAATTTACTTTATCTCAAAACACGAAATAATTCTTTTTATTTCTCACGTGTTCAAAAACGCTCCAGTTCCTTTCATATCCGGATGAGCTACAAGTTAAACTTAGAACTCTGATGGCGAAAGTCTGTAAATCCGGAGTCTCTACACCATATTGGTCCCACCACTCAACTATAGAAGTGAAAAAAAATATTCAAGAGTTAATAAGTACAAAAAATACATTAAAGTTAGAGCTATAAAATATAGAAGCACTTGGTCACCTGACGACTTCATCTTTCTTTGTTTAATAGCAAGTCGGAGCTTAAAAAGCCCCTCAGCTGCCTTGTAAATAGCAAGTTGATCTACTATCTTTTCTTGCAAGTCTTCATCTGGAGTTAACTTGATAACAACCTCATGGAATCCTGTCCACACTTCTCTAGCCAATGAATTATTCTCA